ATATTAAGACCAGCTTCATACAGCTCGAGCGTGGTTTCACAACATCACAGAATGAAATACGTAGATTTATCGCCTAGGGCAGGGCACGACAAGGGAGGTAACTCCGCGTACCCTGTCCACCAAACTCACCCGCGTCACTTTGATCATGAATGACTTTCGTTACACACAGGACCTACACTCACTGTAAGCAACAGTGACGCATGGTCAGATTCTAAGTGAGGTTGCGTGCAGTGAACAGAGGAACTTCTGATTCACTAACTGAAACATCTACATTGTTCCTTCTGCAAATCAGAGGAACACCAGGAAGTATTTAGATCGTGTTGATCATGTGATCAATGATTGCATGTGTAGCGGCAGTTGGGGATTGTATCGTGGGGATTCCCATGTGAATATACACGCCCATGCTTCTTAAAGCCGTCTTAAAGGAGTATAGAAGTATCAGCATCAGTAGTACTAGTAGTAGTAGTAGTAGTAGTAGTAGTAGTTGTCGTTGTAAATAGTCCATGTCATTGTATCCCAACTGCGAAGACTCAGTAGTAGTAATGGCAGCAGTAGTAGTAATAGAAGTAGTAGTAGCAGCAGCAGCAGCAGTAGTAGTAGTAGTAGTAGTATTAACAGCAGTAGTAGTAGTAGTAGTAGTAGTAGTAGCAGTAACAGCAGTAGTAGCAGTAGTAGTAGTAACAGCAGCAGTAGTAGTAGTAATTCAAGCAGCAGCAGTAGTAGTAGTAGTAAGCAGCAGTAGCAGCAGCGCAGTAGTAATAGTAGTAGTAGTAGTAACAGCAGCAGTAGCAGTAGTAGTAGTAGTAACAGCAGCAGCAGCAGCAGTAGTAGTAGTAGTAGTAGTAGCAGTAGCAGCAGCAGTAAGTAGTAGCAGTAGTAGTAACAGTCGTAAAGTAGTCCGTGTCATTAGTATCCCAACCGCGAAGTAGTCAGTAGTAGCAGCAGCAGCAGTAGTAGTAGTAGCAGCACCAGCAGCAGTAGCAGCAGCAGCAGCAGTAGTAGCAGCAGCAGCAGTAGTAGTAGTAGTAGTAGCAGCAGCAGCAGTAGTAGTACAGCAGCAGCAGCAGCAGCAGCAGTAGTAGTAGTAGTAACAGCAGTAGCAGCAGTAGTAGTAGTAGTGGTAGTATTAGTAGCAGCAGTAAGTAGTAGTCATTGCAGCAGCAGCGAAGCAGCAGCAGTAATAGCAGTGGTAGCAGTAATAGTAGTAGTAGCAGCAGTAGTAGTAGCAGCTGTAGCAGTAGTAGTAGCATGAGTAGTGGTAGCAGCAAGCAGCAGTAGTAGTAGTAGCAGTATGCAGCAGCAGCGGTAGCAGCAGTAGCAGTAGTAGTAGCAGCAGCAGTAGCAGCAGGCGTTGTAGTAGTAGTAGCAGTAGCAGTAGCAGTAGCAGTAGCAGCAGCAAGTAGCAGTAGCATTTAGCAGCAGCTGCCAGTGGCAGTAGTAGTAATAGCAGCAGCGTTGTAATAGCAGCAGTAGCAGCAGTAGTAGTAGTAGCTCCAGTAGTAGTAGTAACAGCAGCAGTAGTAGTAGTAATAGCAGCAGCAGCAGCAGTAGTAGTAGTGGCAGTAGTAGTAGCAGTAGCAGCAGTAGTAGTAGCAGTAGTAGCAGTAGTAGCAGCAGCAGCAGCATGGTAGCAGTAGTAACAGTAGTAGTAGTAGCAGCAACAGTAGTAGTAGTAGTAGTAGTAGCAGCAGTAGTAGTAGTAGTAGTAGTAGTAGTAGCAGCAGCAGCAGCAGTAGTAGTAGTAGTAGCAGTAGTAGTAGTAGCAGCAGTAGTAGTAGTAGTAGTAGTAGTAGTAGTAGTAGAGTAGTAGTAGTAACAGCAGCAGCAGCAGCAGCAGTAGTAGTAGTAGTTGTCGTTGTAAATAGTCCATGTCATTGTATCCCAACTGCGAAGACTCAAAGTAGTAACTTTAAGGTTCTGACGTGGCGATGAGCGTGTTACTGTTAGTAAGTTGCTCGTGTTATTGGCCACTAGTTTTCCTGGTTCAGAGTCGACTGTTCTCAGGAAGCCATATGGTTGAAATATTGCTAACAGCGGCCTACAACCCACACACGCACATCATAGAGCACAAGTTGGAGCTCATGGCTGTCAGCCATTAAGACCCGTGATTGACGAAATATGATACACAAAACGACATAATTCACATTATCACGTCAGTCACTCAAAAATACACTAACTAAGAGGCCAGTTTGTCATTGGTTTCAGAAAGTTTCAGATAATTACCACTCAGTTACACGTGCAGCACCGGAGCTCAGTATTAACAGATATGAGGCCATTCGTATTTCTATATTTCTCCAGCTTCAACCAGCAGAGAGCGGGCTAGCCAGCAGGTGAAAAAATTGTTAATACATTTTTTATAATGTTTACTGAAATTTTTCACAAAATGTGTAACTTATTTTTATGAAATTATATGATTTGGATCACTTGGTAATACGTTTTAAATATATTTATGATGTAGAATAAATCGCTTTGCTTCGGGAACATTTTTAAAAATAGGTGTTGATGAAGAAAGGTCAAGCTGACCTGTCTTTTATAACAGTGTGCTGGGGTAAGAGTCATTTTTATCACATCTGGGGCATAAATTTCCATAACGGATTGGAAATATGAAATACGAAAACTTTCACGTCAGAATGACAATTCCGGGGAAACACAGAAGAAAATACGGAGAACCTCATTGTCGTTTCTAATGATTCTTATCAAATACCCAACGTCATCAATGTTTTACCGCTATTACCATTAACGGCGCGGATGAGTTAGCCTCCTGGTCAAAGCGTTCGCTCGTCTCGCCGAAGGCCCAGGTTTGATTCCCAACATGGGTACATTGCGTGAAGCCAGTTTCTGGTGTGCCCCGCCGTCATATTGCTGAAACATTGCTAAAAGCGGCGTAAACTCAGCTCACACTCACTCCTTAATAATTATTCTTGGTGTGTTATCTTATTATACTTTAATTAATATTTATCTGACAAATACGTTTCCCCTTCAAACGTCCCGGACGGCCTCTGTGGTCTATTTGACAGAGTTCCTGCCCGAAGAGCGGAAAGTCAGTGGTTCGAACCCGGGTCGCGTCTTACCAAATGTGGTTAAATGTGGTGCTTGTTGTTACCTTGGGACAAAACTGATCGGCGCGGCGTATGTTCTCCGTGTCTGGGCGTGACATTCCTGCTTAATTGTAGCATGGTATCTCAGAGGGTTAACACTCTAAAACCGCCATTAGTACGGACTAGCGCACATTGCATGCATCGTTAAAACCTCTTTCACCTCAGCACCACCACCCTACCCTACTCACGGGATAACAGAGGACTATTTTCTAGAGTTTACAATAATTTAAAATTATATAGTGTTTTGTTTAGATACGATAAAACCCTTTCCCCATTTCCAAGTCCAATGTAAACCGGGATCGGGTGGTCAGGCTCGCTGGCTTGGTTGACACGTGTCATCGGTTCCCAATTGAGCAGATCGATGCTCATGCTGTTGATCACTGGATTGTCTGGTCCAGACTCGATTATTTACAGTCCGCCGCCATATAGCTGGAATATTGCTGAATGCGGCGTAAAACTAAACTCACTCACTCACCGTTGTACAATACTGACTATATCATGAATATGTTTGTTTGGCCCCGCATTCAGCAGTGTTACAGCTGTAAACAATCGAATCTGGACCAGACAACCCAGTGAATGATACCATGACAGAACATGTGTTCATGAATCACAATCAAATAAAGATGATACCAGGTGTTCGTGAAAAGGTGAGCGTATGACCCACTGGATGCACTCGTTATAAACATATGCAAACGCTTGTTTACTGGCACCTGAAAGTATTCGTGAGCGTATGGTGCAAATCAACGTAAGGAACTGCATCGGACAAAAATGTCTGTTCTCACCAGTTCACCGACCATATCTTAGATCGGTTTTGATAACCACTATTGACCCATCCAGTGTCTTTACTTCTGGTTTGGCCGCCATATAGCTGGAATATTGCTGAGTGTGGAGTTAAAAGCGAAACAAGAACTTACGGTTTAAATGACGTAAAGCTAAAAATATCCACCCAGTCACTCCCCTGTGTGAACAATGAGAAAAGGAGATGCTGTCGATATAATATATTCCTGCAATGAATAATCCAAGATTCTCCGAGGTTAATCCCTGCTGAAAAAAACAAGGATCATAATCGGGGCGAGTTTGAATTCCAACCGACGATCGGAGGATTTTTGGGCGGTTAAAAACACACTCTACACAATTAACAATACTCGTCACCTGGGTCCGCTAGCACAAAGCGACCTTAGCACCAATATCATTGTAACTCCCATACTTAAACGCAGAGTTACACTTGTATCTGTTCAAGTACCTACAGCAAACAACAAGTTGTTGGTCTATTAACAACTTCAGTAACACATGCTTGTCGTAAAAGGCGACTAACGGGATCGGGTGGTCAGGCTCGCTGACTTGGTTGACACATGTCATCGTATCCCAATTGCGGAGGTCGGTGCTCATGTTGTTGCTCAGTGGATTGTCTGGTCCAGACTCGATTATTTACAGACCGCCGACATACCACGACGATATTAAAATGATAGCGTTAAACAAAACAAACTCATAGTCAGGGTGAAAAGGCTCTTCGACGACAAAGACATCGGTATGAATTCACATTCATAGTCTGTCTCACAGTCCCTGAACCACATTATTTTCCCTGCTGCCCAGCCCTAGACACATGTCATCGTATCTCAGTTGCGGAGATCGATGCTCATGCTGTTGATCAGTGGGTTGTCTGGTCCAGACAAGATTATTTACAGACCGCCGCCATATAGCTGGAATATCGCTGAATGCGGCATTAACCAACAACCAAACGTGTATGGGCCCTTGTTACGCCAGGGCCTAGATTTCCGAAGCTCTCGTAGCGCTAAGATAGTCGTAAATGCCATTCATTAACACTAACTTCCGACTATCTTAGCGCTAAGAGAGCTTAGAAAATCTAGGCCCTGGTATGTTTACAGGATAAACATAAACAGATTCCGCATTCCGTGTTTATTCATGTATAAAGCACATATAATCACATATGAAAGAAGGTTGCATTGCGTATGTCATATCAACAACATTGGACGGCTTGTTGTATTATTCCCAAATATACATTTGAGGGAGGATTAATTGCTCCGTTGGTAATCACAATTTGAAGGCACGCCATGGAAGGATGACAATAACAAAAGGTTGTCATACTTTGAAGCTGTCGATGTGAATGCTAACAATGACATAAGTCGGACTGAGCTTTTCTGAAGCATTGATAATGAATCGTACAGGCTTAAGACGTCGTGGGCTCATCTCACTCAAACAAGTCCGGATGGGCGTTGCATTAACCTAGTGGTTAAAGCGTTTACTTGTTATACCGAGGATCGATTCCCCACGTGGGTACAATGTGTGAAGCACATTTCTGGTGTTCCCCGCAGTGATATTGCTGGAATATTGCTAAAAGCGGCGTAAAAGCACACGCACTCACTCATCCTAGATCACATAATCCTGTTAGGCCTAAGGGACGCAACTAAGCACAACTAATTGACAATAGGCAACTGGGTCACCCGTGTCCTTTCGAGGTTAAAAACTATACATATATAAACAACAAGTTTGACTATACTCGTACATCAAAGGTATTGTCATGGTGTTCCTGGAAAACATGCATATTATGCGTATGTGAAATTGTGAATGCATGTGAATACAACACACAACTGTCTCGAGTCAGATCGAACAATTCTTTCAGCGCTGTCACTCGTAATCTGTGATTAAATCTTCTGTAAAGGCACAACAACCGGGTAAACAAAATCCAGATAACACTCACACTGGTCGTACTTCCACCAACTATACCACTACGTGGTACTTGCCAAAGCAGTCACAGTTCTACACGTATTTAAGACATGTCAAAAACTCAACTAACTCAACGAAACAAATACATCTTTGATGTACTCGTCTTCCACAACTGGCCATTCTTATGGCCAAACATAACTTGACCTGGAACCCGGATTAGTCGCCTGCTCTTGTTCAAGGCAATACACCAGCTCACACAACGAGGAAGGTTTTTCTTCTTCTTTCCAAACGTCAACCTTGCGACTCCTGTTTGACGTGAAGCTGAGTGCAGGCGATAACTGGACACTCTTCATGGTGCAGTGATATGAATTGTGTAAATGGACATTTGTTCTCAAGAACGATGGGGTCTCAGAGACATGTAATGACCAAGGAGGATCCTCAGAAAATGATTCCAGAAATTCCTCCAAATATTTCATGACGACTTCTTCCTCACCGTGTGTGAATATTTGACTCTCAAAGGTTTTCTTAGTTTCACGTGGGAGAACTGTTGCCACCTCTTGCCTCTGCTGCGTTCATTTGGGTTGACATCCGGCCCTTTCAGTCCTTCTCTCATGTAATGTTCCACTAATTCCTTGAGGTTGTCAAAATCTCTGCCACCAGGAAAGATGTACAGACGAACCCGGGTGCCATGTTGACGCTCGAACACGAGATAGTTACGGAGTGCATTGAGATGACTGTAAGAAAGGAAAGAATCGTTTAAAATCTCCGCCATGTATAATAATAACAAGAAGAAGACAAAGTCATCAATATCCCCCGCAATGGCACAATACTCTTCATGAATATGTCTACGACTTATGATCATGTCAATTTGGTGTGCATATATAAAAAGTGGAAGGAGAGTATTGAAAGGTTTTAACAGTTCTGCTCCAGAAATATAAATCTAGTGAATAAGAAAAAGACTTCTTCAATAAATTATAAGTATTGCCTACGATCCATAATTGAAAAAAACATTTAACACATGCCCGTCTGGTACCATTGTTTACATGACTTTTTCTTCCTTTACAGGTTAACCGAATCGGTCGAATATTACCTATTTGGCTAAAACTGATACCAAAATGATAATATACAATTATCTAGATGTGGTTAAAGTGTTTGACATTTACCGTTTTAGTGAAACGCATCAGCACGTGCATGGTGCTGACAAACAAAGAAACATCGGTTTCGGGCACGCCTAAGGGAGGCAACTCTGCATAGCACAATACATTGATGACTTACCTAACTGTGATGACATATTGTCTTTTGCGCCCAATCCACCAAACAATGAAATTGCCATCTTCGTGTTGGTAACGTCTCATGGTTGTACTAATCTGTTGAAAGAAATGTTATCCTTATGAAAAAACAAACAGAGGATTTTACTGTTTCTTTTATTGATAAATCGCTACTTTTCAATATGGACCTATGAAGATCCGGGTCAGAATTGGTATTCAGCAACCCATGCTTGTAAGAGTCGACTAACGGGATCGAGTGGTCAGGCTTGCTGACCTGGTTGACACATGTCATCGTATCCCAATTGCGGAGGGTCGGTGTTCACGCTGTTGATCACTAGATCGCTTGGTCTAGACATGATTATTCGCAGACTGCCGCCATATAGCTGGAATATTGCTCAGTGTGGCATTAAACTACAACCAAACTTGTGTGGTTGTAAGAGGCGACTAACGGGATCGAGTGGTTGTAAGAGGCGACTAACGGGATCGAGTGGTTGTAAGAGGCGACTAACGGGATCGAGTGGTCAGGTTTGCTCACTTGGTTGACACATGTCATGTCAATGGGGGTATATCGATTCTAATGATGTAGATCACCGGATTGTCAAAACTCGATCTATTCAAATAGCTGGAATATTACTGCATGGGTGCTGAAGATCAATTCTAACCCAGATCTTCACGGTTTAAATCACCACACCATTACTATCCAAATTTAACATAACTAAAAAGACTTATTAAAAGTGACAGACAACGTATCTTACCGAGTCCTCCGTTTCTTGTGGGCACCATCCCGGCACTGTATCCAGATCACATGAATCCCTGACAATAGGTCTGTCATGGAACGTTCTCAGTCTCTTCATTGGTATTGGTGGAGAAGGTTTGGGTGGGAGGGACCGAGGCTGGTTCTGGGGGATGGCATCAATGTAAGTATACTGAGAGGACCCAGCCACACAATCTAGGTATTCCATATCATTAGCACTCCAGTGTCGGTTCACTTGTTGCTTTTTGGGTACAAAAGGTGTCATGTGCTTCATGTCAAAGTAGGATGCATCCTGTTCCTCATCTTCCTCGCCGAACCGAGCGTACACGAGTCCTTCTGAATTCATTTGTGATGGCATTGCTGCGGGCATGCTCTCTGACCGACTCATGGCCATATACTCAATTTGTTGCACCTCAGGTAACCCTTGCGGCGAGTTGACACTTGGGGAAGCTGAGAATCCAAAATAGCCGTTACTGTTTTGTTGAATCACTAAAGGCACAGTCAAGTGTCTGTCATCATCACTTTCCATTGAACTCTCAATAGGCTCACCCTCCATTGCACTTTCAGCGGTAGATGCCATGGACTCAATATTTTCTTTGTAACTCAGGTATCCGTCAGCATCAGTTTCTATAACAGTAAAAGCTGATGCACCACTACTCGATCTACTGCGACCTTCAACATCGACATCCATCAGCGAACTCTGCGATGCAAATGTTGCATAGCCATGACTGTCCTTTGAAACAACACACTGAGCAGGAGGTTTTTTAAACTCGTCTGGAACTGACTTTGGTCTCTCCCTCTCTTCTTTATTGTCTCTTTCAGAAGGGAGAGTAGAGGGTTCACTTGTCTGCCTCAACACAGGAAGAGAATTCGCCCCGTGCATGCCTTGGAGTTCTCCTTTGTCTTGAGTCACAACATCTATATAACCATCCTTTCTTTGCTGGAGAACACACGGCATGGGCTTGGCATTTGTCCCGGGCATTTGTGGCAAGGAGGAAGAAGGGGGTATTTTGTCATGACTAACATAAATTTCATTTTTCACACATGGCAAAGGCTTTAGACGAGGCCAGGATGATGCCATACTACTTGAGTTTTCTTGGCGAAATGGCGTGGACTGGTTTGAAAATCTGAGAACTGGATGTGTATGGGGAACGTAGTCGGACACTTTTGGGGAGTGCTTTTTTGGCTTAGGTTCTGACTTTCTCTGTGGCTCACATCGTTTCATAAAAGTTGTATCGTCGTCATCATGTTCAAAGGATGCAGATCTGAAACGACCAGGATCAAACAGGTATCCTTTTGGTGAAGTCCCCGAGGGAAGTGACCCTAATGTCGGATACGACTCTACCACTGAGCAAGATGGCTTCTTCAACAAAGTTTGACGGTCCACATGTGATGGACCACAAGGGAGTTCAAAACTTGAGAAATCTGGATTTGAGTTTGAGGAGCTTGGCAAGTCCTGGCATGGCAATGGTCTTCCGGAAGATTCCCACTGTGAGAGATTGTTGTACGTTTCATAAGTTTCTGCAGGATCAGAACTTTCGTTTGTTCGGACTTTGAGCGCAGTCACAGAACATAGGTTGTTCGATGAGGAGGCTTCATCTACCACAGGTATATTGAAGGGAAGCGGTGTTGTCTGGGAAGTGGAAGGACATCCTAAGTAGAACCCACAGCCTGGGTTACTTGTTACACCTTCAGCCAGTCGTTCTTTTGAGAAGATACCTGTAATATGCCATACACGCTTCTGTGAGATTCGTCAGTTATTTCCCCTTTCTTAACTGACAGCTGTGTTCCCTGAAAAATAAATATTCAAATTTGAAAAATCAAATAGCTGATTAACGAGAGCAAATTTACAAACTTTACACACAATAATGGTTAAATATATAGTGTGACTTTTGTAGGTGGCGGTACTGCAGGTAGACAGTGAGTAGGTTGGGGTTTACGCTGCTTTTAGCAAAATACCAGCAATATCACAGCGGGGGATACCAGAAATGGGCTCCACACCTGTGGGGAATCGAACCCGGGTCTTCGGCGTGACGACCGAACGCATGAACCACTGGGCTAACTCACCGCCCCTTCCAGTCGCCAGGATATGCTTCGCCTGACGTCATCACTGATTTTGAGTCATATATGCACTCACATTACTGTCATTGATGAGTCTCCTCTTAAGCCCAGAAGAATATGTGTCAGCAGCTAATCGTGACAGAGTTTCCTCCAACGGTGATGTTTTATATTTACTTCTGTAATTCAACCTACAGACCTATATTTATATATCCGAGCAGTTCCACGAACGACAATGATGTTTGTTTCCGCTTAAATTCTCTGACGTAAAGCTTTAAATAGCTCATTACGCCCAGTTATGTGTGACATGAAAAATCGACTACAAGGCCTGAGGTACTTTATACACCGCTTCAGGGCATTCATTATTCGAGCAGCCAGCGAGACAATCCTCCTCAGTTCACGAACAAAAAGTAAACACAACCCATGTACCGGATAGGGATAATGACTGAGTAAACAAAGACATTTAACACGATACCTACTGTAGGTTTTACTACACAGAAACTACATCATTTTAATACACCGAGAACAAAATAGAACGTATTCTGCTCATCAAACACAAGCTCTCACAACAGAATAGACAATGTCAAGTAACATAATATAATTAATAATCAGACGTAATACTCAACTTGGGTAGAAGCAAAAGTATTGTACATATTGCAATTTGTATATGACGTCCTCACTTTCATTGTAATAAATACGGCAAATCAGTGCTAAGTTATCATTATAAATAGTATGATTTGTTTGTTCTTGCGTACAAGACAAGGTGACTCGTTACCTTGAGATGATAAGCAGGTGTTTGCCAGGTGATCTGGGGGGTCGGGCCTGTTATCACATAGCTTGGAAGACCGGGAAGAACGTTCTCGAGACTCGCTGCCAAAGTAGAATCCTTCTTGGTCGTCACCAACAGGTATTTAAACTGTCCCCTTTCGTCTTCAATTTTGACGTTAAGCTGCATGGAGTGCAAATCTGAAAGGGAAATCTTCAACTGAGTTCACGGTTATGTAAAAACGTTCATGCGGTGACGTCCCACACACCTGTATCGACACACCTTTTTAACACTTGCATTTATAACTTTTATTACTGGAATGAGGTGTGGAAACACTCCATACCTGTAAAATACCTCCAGTGTCTCAACAGTATACATCTTGGCGAGGTGAGGAGAGACACACTCAAAACAGAACAAACCGTTCCAGGTCGGTTGTTTCGAGACAAGCTTTGTGTATACGGTTTGGGACTGACACGCTAGTCTGTAATTACATACATGTGTGTCACGCTGACCTTGTCAATCTGGACGGGTATCAGTTTCAGGATAAAGGAATTCAATACGGCCACACATAACAACTCACTGCTACATAGTCATGCTAGATGAATTCCTTATATTTCAGGACGTCAAGTAATACCTGAAGTCAGTATCAATTCAAATAAGTTTGCTTTGGGAGTTCCTTGTACATTGGTGGATTTAGAAGTGAAACACGCGATGAATACATAATTATGCATGCTTTAAAATGCGGTAAGGTAAAAAAGTAAGGAAAACAATGGTTCACCAACAGACCAAGTTTCATTTTCAGCCTTGTTGCAACGACGTGTGTTCTGCAAAGGAACCTTCGATGTATCTTGAAGGAGGGCGATACAATGGCCTCGTTACTAAGCCAACAGACATTGTGTCGAATAGCCAGGGATATTGACGTCACAGGACCTGGTACTCGCCCCAAAGGTCATCTAGGGTCAGATGAACTCAAGCTTTGCCCTCGCTGTCTACTCACTCTTCTCGGCTGTGGGTGAGCAGCCCTTTGCTTGTATTGTTCCCCAGAAATGATAACCCGCGTCATTAGTGATAGAAATGACAGTGAGGTACTTGAGAACAATTGTGTATAGTTGTGGTGTAATAAGTTTTGGCCGTTTCAAACAGATGTGATAAATACTGAATTTCCTCAACAGGACATAATTTAAATGGAGCATGGTGAATTTGTATCACGAGTTGTTTGTACAGGCGTCGATTAATTTCCTTATGAAAAGAATTAATTTAAACCTTGTACTTTAGTCCCGGAAAATGGAAGGTCACCAGAGGTCCATGAATATGTGTTTTTGTTTAATGTAGATAGTTTATAGTGACTAAATGAATGTGATTCACATGCTAACTGATAGTGATTCACATGCTAAGTGATAGTGATTCACATGCTAATCGATAGTAACTAGCATGCTCATTGATACTAATGTACATAGTAACTGATAGTGACTCACATGCTAACTGATAGTGATTCACATGCTAAGTGATAGTGATGATTCACATGCTAATCGATAGTAACTAGCATGCTCATCGATACTAATGTACATAGTAACTGATAGTGATTCACATGCTAACTGATTGTGATTCACATGCTAAGTGATAGTGATTCACATGCTAAGTGATAGTGATTCACGTGCTAAGTGATAGTGATGATTCACATGCTAATCGATAGTAACTAGCATGCTCATTGATACTAATGTACATAGTAACTGATAGTGATTCACATGCTAACTGATTGTGATTCACATGCTAAGTGATAGTGATTCACATGCTAAGTGATAGTGATTCACATGCAGATAGTGAATCACATGTCAATCGATAGTGATTAAAATGCTGATCGATAGTAATGTACGTGGTAACTGATAGTGATTCGCATGCTAAATGATAGTGGTTCACATGTTAACTGATTGTGATTCAAATGCTAACCCAAACCGAACAACACATGCTTATGAAAATAGTCGAGCACTCTACAGTTGTACACAACATAGAGGTTATAGTGTAACTATATTTCTGGTCAAAAGTGGCGGTGCTTATCCTTTCCGTGAACACCCCGTCTCATCACTGATTTTCAGTGATGTAGTCATGTACTTTTAACCACTCTTTACTATCTATTCCCAACTGAATCAGTTATCGTAATTTAACTTTCAGATTGTTGATGCTTGGAATATATACTAAAATGAATGAATGAAGTGAGCTGTTAACAATATTCCAGTAATATCACGGCGGGGGACACCAGAAATGGGCTTCACACATTGTACCCATGTGGGGAATCGAACCCGGGTCCTCGGCGTGACGAACGAACGCTTTAACCACTAGGCTACCCCACCGTCTCTTGGAATGAATGAATGAATGAATGAATTGCCTGTTACCAGAATAGATTTTGTCAAGATGACGATATTTAACTTTTAGATTGTTAATGTTTGGAATGAATGAATGAAACGTGTCTTCACATTTATACATATGTAACATTGTTCAATATCACAAGAATATGAACTTAACGTGAGTGTGGTTTTCAGGAGAATCCAAGCTGTATCATGTCATGTCAAAAGGGTTCGAATACTGGATTTATTTAAGTATCATTCTGTGGTTGATCAGTTGATCAATTGATGATAACAATCGAACCACTATACAATTATGATCACATACCAAATGTCATCAAACAAGATGCAAAATATATACACGCATGAAGTGACAATTAACAACATTGTCATTAATGCCAGGATGTGACGTAGATCAACGTCATCATACAAAGTAACGGTCACGTTTGCTTAGCAGAGGCTCACTCTTATAACTAAACAACGACTTGGAAAAATGTTTTTAAGATTTTGATACGTGTGGGTAAAATGCTTCAGTAAACCATATGAATGTAGCCTATACATTTGATACATTGACACCGGAATTTTGAAGAAACAGAGAATATGTATACGTACAAACCCCATCTGTTTAACAGGGCAGCACATGTATTAGACGCCACACATACTCGTTCATCCTGATCGACAAATTCCCGGTAAATGGTATCCCAAATAGAAATGAAAAAACCCGATAGCAAAGGTGAACAATTTGACTAAACAGCCACTCCTTACCGCATCTGTCTATTGTGCTGTTGGGTTTAACCACAAGCCAAGAATGTCATTGATGCGAGCTGGATGAATGTTATATCCGGTATATAGTCCAAATGAATACAAACCACATCAATGGCCTTGGCAAAGGGTGTTCTCGGAGAGTAAAAGTTTTGTGTAGACTAAAACGTTTTCAGTTACACATATATTTAAACATCTTGTTAGGCGTGTTCAGCGCCATGAAATATGCTTAGTAACGTGCATGAACATGACAGTTATTTTTCCCAAGTCGTCTCCACCCCACCACCCCCTACCCCATTACCACGCGTCCTTAGCACTCGACTTCCTCCTTAGGCGACTGAATTTAATAAGAAAACTTTTTCCATTGATAATCTAGACTACTATTGTTTTTAAGGAAAACCAAGTTCTATGGATAGTCAACACCTTTATTGCAATGAGTGCGACGTTTCGGTATAGGTACTAACACCATTATCAGCTTGGTTTTCTCGGACTTGGTTTTCCTTCTTCTCTACTTCTAAAATGCCTCTCAAAGAAATATTGTTTTCTGGTGTTAGGTATCGTGACATTTCACATCAGCTGGGAAATCCATTTTCTATTGCCTCTCAGATTGTAAATATTAGACTAAACTGTGCAAGAAATTAGGTTCAGACCAGGAACTAACAACAAATATTAACTCCTCTCGTTTATAGTCGTGAAGGTGTTTTTATAAATTTTCGTGTTTCATATAGTTCGTGACAAGTTTTCGGACAATGTTTTAAGTCATAGTATTTGTATTTAATTACAATTCCCGGATGTGCTCACCCATGGCTGTCGTGTTTAATCATACGCTAAACCTACCTGAAACAAAACGGAATTGGGCTGGCTTGGGTTACCGCCACTTTGAAACGTATTACTGTAACGCTGCGTATCTGCGTACATTATGCATAATTCCTATCAAGTCTGTTGCGTACAAGTACGCTTGACTTTTTGTAAATACGCAATAAATTTGATCTAACATGCGTACACACAAAAATATATATGATATCTGAGGTATATTGAGAGGTTCTATTTCAGTATATGAGCTTGGCTACTTGCAGTCTTTCTTATCGTTCCACATATTACAGATCAAATGTAAATAACAAACACGAAAACCAACATTTAAACTTTATAATAATATTACAGTAAACCGAAAATGGCATAATACCCAATTGAGTTTGAGCGAGGTGGGTACAATTTGTTTGGCTATCAAAGGAAAATTGGGATACCAAATTGAGATGAACACAAGCGAGTACATAACTCAATGACCCAAAAGGTTATCTGTAGCTCTGACAGTTACATCACGAACCACAATTAGTGGTCCCGTAATGTATTACTATTACATCACGCCGTGTCTGTCTACAGTGGGAGGGAAACCCGAAGTAAATGCAGGTATTGGACGTTAACCACTTTGGGTGAAACCCAAGAGCATGGAAGTGGTGCTGACATACCTAGAAACACAAATAGGGTTAACCTGGATTTACACCGATAACCATAGGTTCCTGGTTTAAACAAGGGACGCAACTATGCACCGCAAAATTCGACCCATACCCCGTGTAAGGAAAGTGAGTGATTGAGTGAGTATGGTTTTACGCCGCTTTTTGCCATTTCACATTGTACCCATGTTAGGAATCGAAACCGTTGCCTCAGCGTGACGAGCGGACACTTTAACCATTGAACTACCCCACCGCCCCGTGTTAGGAAAGGATATGTTATATATCGGTTTATATCTTGAACATCGATATCATATAACAAAACAAAGTATTGTTCTACAGGGAAGAAAGTACGGCTTAATATTAAAGGGAATCTGATGAGAGCTGTTCGCGATCTTAACATGGTATGATATGTCTACTAAACATACTTTCTGCATATTTTTGACAATATACAATTTGAATATTTTTTGTTTGTATAAAAGGATGTAGTGAACTAACACCCGGAACATATTCAGCTAAAACGGAGCCACCCATGTTATCACAGATATGGTATACATCTACTGCGGCCGCCTCACTGACACTGTGGATACTGCGTTTGCACGGGGAGCGGAAGGTCGATGGTTCAAACCCGTTACCCCGTCCTAACACAAC